CGCGGTCCGAGCGGCTGCCGCGGCCGCCCAGGGCTGGTTCCGTTAGTGGTCGTGGTTCCGGGGCTTGCTTGGTCCGGCGAGCTGCGCAGGGCCCCCGGCGCCCGACCGCCCTCTGCTTGCGGAGCTGACCGCCCTGGACGTGGTCCTGGCTCGGCCAGTACGTCGCGCCCCGAAGTTTAGATTCCCCCGGGGGTGTTTTCTGCCGCCCTAGACGCCCCGGGTTTAAGTCGGCAGAATCCTGAAAGATGAAGAGCTTTGGCCCCTGACCTGGCAGATGACAGATCAGGTTCTGGGTTTTTGATATTCGAATGCGGTGACCCCCCACGACCTGAAAGGCTTTCTTAGACCCTTCTAGACGGCAACAACAAACCCCGGTGTTTCCTTTTTCAGTGAAAGAAAAGCACAAGAAGAAACTTTTCCAGGCATCGTTGATTTGACGACGGCACTGATCCTCCGAAATCACAGGAAAGGTAATCTCACTCGATGGCGTTGTTAGAGATTACAGAAGAAAAATTGTCGGACATCCATTTTCATACCCGATTAAAAAGGAATTCTTAATAGGATATATAATTTAGTGGCTGTCTCTAAATCATATGCCACGGAACAGCTCAAATTTGGTTTGTTTTAAAATCTTAGGGGGGAAAAACCTTATTTGTGAAGTAGTTTACTGACTAGAGTGCCATTGGTTAGTTTGCAGGACTAGCCATGATTACCTGTGAAAAAAGAACAACACAAAACTTTGGCATAAAGTGAAAGAAGCAAGGAGTAAATTGGTGTGGACTGTGTGTTGTTTTATATGTTAAGGGAGAGGGTAATGACTAAGATCTGTATTGCTCTTCTGCATAAGGAAGTCCTAGAATAATACTAGAAAACCAATAATTACGGGAAAGGGAGAAGTGGTCTGTAGAGGAAAGGTTTAGAAAAATGAAATGTTTTATTCGTTGTCTACTGTTTTTTTTTTATTGTTTTATGGATTCATGAACAACAAAAATTATTTAAAATAGTTTATATTGGTTCCCTATTTTGTAGGGAATTTTGATCATTTTCGGTATTATTTTTCTTAATATTTGAAGAATAAACTGAAGAAAAGTTTAGGACGAATTTGCTGGCTTTTCCACTTTAAGAAGGTGAAGTCACAGACGAATTCAAAACTGCAAAGGTTGTTGTTTTGCCTTGTTGACTCTTAGTGGTAATGGCATTAGTCGTCACAGTTGCATGATGCTGCGTTGATAGTGTAGTGTCTCCCTTTAATTTTGTCAGGAACTATAGTTTATAATTTATTCTCCTTTTGTCGATCCCTGCCTCAAAGTTGGAGCACTGCATTTACGGTGCCAGTAGAGTAAAAGGTCTATCTTTTTGTGCTTTTCTGGTGGGAAGCTATTATGTCCTTTAAGGACGTGAACCCCAGTGAAGTCTCTGTGTGTGTGTGTGTGTGTGTGTGTGTGTGTGTGTGTGTGTGTGTGTGTCAGAGATAGAGATAGAGATAGATAGATAGATAGAGATGAAACTCAGAATCAAATATGAGAAACTAAGGGTTTTTATGATTACAGATTGTGTAAACATACATTAATGATTTTTCTGGTTCTGCCAGCCTAAGCTTTTCAGTAAGGTCAAGGTTGAAAGGTGGCTATGAGAGTGGATATCATTTTAGGGAGGGAATACTCAGAAACTCCCTCTAGTGACAATAAGATTGTATGGAAACCAGTTGCTACAGACATTTTGATTACTATTACTAGTATTTTTATTTTGTGGGGCAGGATATTTGGGTTGGTTTGTTTGTTGCAGGTGTATGATAGTCACTCCAGTGCAAAAATGGTACTTATTTTTCATTTGAACTTATGTATGTGAATTTTTCCAGTCTTTTAACCAGATGAATCACATAAGTGGAGGCTGTCTTCCATTTTTGTTATTGTTGTTGAGATAGAATCTCGTGCTGTGTGTAACCCAGGCTGTCCTGGAACTTACTCTGTACTCTAGACTGGCCTTGAACTCATGATAATCCTCCTGCTTCAGCTTCTTGAGTACTAGGATTGCAGCTATGTTCTATTACACTGGATGGACATTTCTACTTTCACCTCATATCTTCCTCCAGAAATAAGTACTAACAATTGGATGTGTAGCTTTCTACATCTTTTTCTTTGAATTATAAATATGTCTATTTTAATCTTAAAAACTGAATTATTGAACTTGTTTATGGTAGTTACTTGTGGGGGTGTTGGGGAGTCTTAGTTTGTAGTCCAGACTGGTCTGGAGGTAGAGAACCTCCTGCCTCGCTCAACCTTTTGACTGTTAGGGTTATGCTTGGCCAAGTTAGTGAGTTCTTCTTGAATGATGGTTTGTTCTGTCAGTTTGCCTGTACTGTACCCCACGCTCCAGGGTAGAAATGACTTAGAATATGTCAGAAAGTTTCAACATGGGATATGAACCTTAGGACATAACCCCATATACCCCCCGCCCCCAATATTGAGATACTAGTTGGTATGGAGGCACCTGCAGTTTAGAGGGATGTCATACTGATGTGAATTCCGCGTAGAAACTTATATTTTAACATGTTTTTCTATAGCATTCTTAGGGGCCTAAATTGTAGGGTCTCAAGTATGGGCCCTTGAGGGTGAATAGGCATCCCAGCCTTGTAGTTAAGGCTTAAGTTAGTTAAGAAAGGAGAGAACCGAAAGCTTAGACTCTTTTCTTCATGTGAAGGAGCCAGCTGCAACTGCATGGCAGGTATCTCTGAGTTGGGTGCTGTTTGTCTGGATATATTACTTAATTAAGCTTTTCCATTGGAAAGAGCCTTTGCTGCTTATTTGATCATTGTGAATTCATTACATATTGATTTCAAGGTTGTTAAAATATGAAACGTAGAAGTGGGGTTTGTCATTGAGCTGCTGTCCATTGTCAAACATGTCAGGCAGATATTGCTATAAGTACAGAAAGTCTCTGCTCACTCTTTCCTCAGAGCACCACCTTCTTCTTCTTCTTCCTCAGAGCACGCTGCTGCTTAGTTCTGCTTAGCTGCTGTGTCAGGTGAATTATTTACGTACTCTAAATGTTGTAATAAAACACCGTGGGAAGCAAATTACTTTGAAAAGTTTCATATTTTATAGCAAAACTGTCTTTGACTATTTCCTTAAAATACTTGCAGAAGCATGAAGCATCTTTTTTGAAGTATAATTTCTTTGTAGACAGTGCATCAACTAATTGTATTTTCTCCTTTTCTGAGCTTTAAATTGTTGGTAGAGTTGGATGAATTATCAACCTAACACCTTTAAATGTAAGAACAATTTAATTCTTACTAATTGGTTTAATTACATAATGGCATTTATTAGTTGCTTTACAACCATTTTTAATTGCCCTGATATATGTAATTTCCGTGAATTACATGGATAAAGAAATTGTTTTTCCGTGCTTTATTTTGCAAATATTAAATTACCTAAACAACTTATTCTCACAGTTTTGAGTTATCACATTAGTTGTATAATTCACATAGAAATAATTTTGTTTATTATTTTAAGTCTGCCCTGTCACTCTACAAAGAGAAATCATTTATAAGAGTAAATTTTTATTATTGCTTTTGATTTTTTTAAAAGGACTATTTTAGAATTTCATTTTGTGTGTTTGGATGTTTTATCTGCATGTATGTCTCCACCATGTGAGTATGGGCTCTCTTGGGGGCCAGAAGAGTGTCAGGTTCTCCCCGGGAACTGGAGTTACAGACTGTTGTGAGCTGCCATGTGGGTGATGGGAATTGAACCCAGATCCTCTGGAAGAACAGCCAGTGCTCTTAACCAGTGAGCCATCTCTATTCCCTAAAGGATTTCTTTTTGGTGGTGGTGTTGTTTGTTTTGTTTTTTTAAGCTCTGTATCTTAAATATTTAATTTATTTTATAAAATCCCTTTTATTTTCATATGGTGAATGCTAGAATGAAAAGTGGACACGATACCACCATGTCCAACATGCTCTGCTTTTTGAAAGAGTTCATGTTTTAATTTGATATTCAATTTTTAATTTTCATTATAAATAGTAGAAAATAAGAGCACACGTTGATTCCCTCTTTGTTGGTGGTGATGGCTGGATTTTTTCCGAGTCAGAGTCCTGTGTAGTTGTGACTGGTCTTGTGCTCTCACTGCTCCCGCCCCAGCTCCTCTAGCATGGGATTACAGGGGTAGCCACACCTGGCTTCCAAGGCTTCTTTCTGTGTTGAGGAAACGAGAAGCACAAAGTTGTACCTGTCGCTGAGCCACTTGCCTAGCTGAGAATTTATCATTTGTACTGAGATAAGCTTAACGTTCAGTAGTTGACCGACTTTCCTAATTTTCAACTCTCAGTTATAAATGCAGCACGTCCCAGTATGGAAATTCGGGAAACAGAAAGAACATCAGCACAGTTTCAGAGTTTAAACTACTGCTGAAGTCCTGCACCCAGAGATGCCGTTGTTAGTCTTCTTGGGCACCTTTTCCTCTGTTATGCTTGAGCGTTGTGGGAGTTTATACAGACCCCTGACTGTAGAGACCGGGAGCACCTACTACAGGGTAAACAGTTGTGTTCCTTTAACAGCAAGTCAGCACCATGTTTTCATCTCATTATTTTTCTGCAGTGTTACTCTTTTAATGTTTATTCTCATCCATGTTTTTTATTTCATTTACTTAACTGCTTTTACTGTTGGCTATGTTAGTTTTTAATTTTTAAGTTAATAAGAGGAAGTACAACTTGAAAATTTTGATAGTCTTCAGAATTAGAATACAAGTAAAATAATACCGAATTTGTGTTGATAACCAAATTCAACAGATTTCATTGGAAAAATGTCAGTCTATATAATCGACTAATAATAATGTTCAATAATGAAGTAAATCCAGGATTTTTGTAGTGTGTTTTTTTTTCTAATTTTATGTTTTCCTTAGAAATTTATTTCACATTTCATTTCATGAGCATAAATCAGTTGGGGATTTGGTTTTGGTTTTGGTGCTGAGGTTGAGCACCTTTCACATACTAGGTGGGTGCTCTCTCCTCCCCAGCTGCCTCCCCAGCCACTGTTGGTCACGTGCCTGGATGTTCCTGCCATGGTTTCCAAGGAATTTGTGTTTCCTTGAAGTCGCCAGCAGAAAGTTGGTTGTGATATTCTTTTATCCTTTTAGTATCTGTAGAAACACAGTGAGTCTAATGTCTATGTAACCTAGAGCAGTGATTCTCAGCCTTCCTAATGCTGCAACCCTTAATACAGTGCTCCATGTTGTGTGACCCCAACCGTGAAATTATTTTGTTTGCTACTGCATAACTGTCATTTTGCTGCTGTTATACATTGTTCATATCTGTGTTTTCTGATGGTCTTAGGCGACCCCTGTGAAAGGGTTGTTCATCTCCCAAAGAGGCCGTGACCCACAGGTTGAGAACCATTGCTCTAGGGTGTCGTCCCCCCCCCCATCCACATTATTCTGATCTAGTAATTTGAGTATTCTTTTTTCTTGAGCAGCC